TATAACAGTCAGGGGGACAGGAACTAAACCATCTTGGATAGCTCCCTTGCTTTCCAAAGCTACAAGCCTGTAGCATAAGTTATATGCCTTTACATAGACTCATCCAAGCTGTGCCTATGCAAATATTGATTGTCTGTAATTAGAGCCACAGCCATCAATAAACACACCTCTATCACGCACAGCTGAATTACACCAGGCACATAGGGCATATCACTTACATCACAGTTTCCGCCCCACCCAGACACCACAAAAACCTTGAAAAACAGGGGATTGAGATTATCATTATCAAGCTTCATCAGAAGCTTAAAAAGACTGGAGAAACCAACCCAGCCTCCAAGGACATCCAATACTGCCTGCATTTCCCACTTACTGGGACATTGCGTTCAAGGCACACCTCAAATTACAGTTTTTCCACAACACATCASTAATGCAGCTCATCCTGCAACTCTAACTTTTGCTTATTCTTTCCCTCACTTATCACTTTTCCATTTGGAGGTATCAGCTCTTCTCTGTGAATTCAGCCCTTCCTCTTTACTCCCCAACTGCTGAAGTGGGTGAAGTGCCTAAATCAGCAGAGCAATAAACACCCTCACTTGAAAAATGTGACAGCACTGAGAGATACAAAATAGTTAGTTTACTTTGTTTCACAGAGACTTAACCTTTTCAATTATTCTTTTAAGCCCACGCTCAGCCTGTTTAAATAAACTATAAAATATTTCAACAAGTTCAGAAATCTGAACCAAATAAATACTTTTTTATAACAAAGAATACCAAGATCAACACAAGCAAATAAATTAGAGCAGCAGCCAGAAAACACTGCCTGAAGCAAAGCTACTGAGTGCAAGTCAGGATGAAAAWGCAAAGAACAAGGACAAAGCAAATCTGGTAAATATAAAAATAGGTRGGTGGTTGTTTCACTGGTGAAAAGYACAACTTTTTTATAAGCATGGATCTATGCCCTGTGTTCACATTTCATAGCTGCAGGAACAAATCTTTGCAAATTATAAAATGTTGAAGTAGTAAAATCATGCAAAGCGTTGATAAGTGCAAAGACATGCAACTCTTGC